TAGTAGCAGCAGTACTATGATTATTATCACTACTGATGCCACTTTTATGATTACGGTTGTTCCTATTATTGTTGTTGTGACCATTATTCTTATTACTATTACTGCTATGAGTAATCATTACGAACAATATTGCTATTCTTGTTGTCATTCTTACAGTGATTTTGTTCTTCTTCTTGTGGTCAACCTCGTACCATTATGAAACGTCTTAATGCTTAATATTACTACCTGCTGTTGTTACTGGTTTTTGTGAGTATATCATCTATGATGCTGCTGCTGTTGCTATTATCTTGTATGTGAGCATTTCTATTACTGCCATGGTTATGATTACGGTTAACATCTTGATTACTGTTACTGGTACTGATACTGTTACGTACTGTTCCTGTTCGTGTTCCTGTTGCTCTTATGTACTGTCATTACTGCTACTACTATCATCACTGTAGTTATGTTCATTAGCATTACCAGTGCTATTTCTTTTATTGTTACTAATATTACTATTATTATTACTAGTATTGTTACTGATATTGCTATTCTTTATTGCTACTATCAGTATTACTTTTATTACTACTATTGGTACTACCATTCTTATGCAAGGCCGGCCTTGACCACCAAAGCCGTGAGCTCTGCCAGGTTCGCCTCACAAAGCGCCTGACGAGGGGGCGAAGCTCGGGGCCTTGAGGGGTCCCATCGGGGTCATCATGAGGGTTCCCTTGAAGGGATCCATCTTTTGAAGGGTTCCCTTTAAGGGATCCATCTTTTGAAGGGTTCCCTTTAAGGGATCCATCTTTTGAAGAGTTTCCTTTAAGGGATCCATTGTTCAAAGGTTCCTTTAAGGGTTCCATCTTTGTTGAGGGTTCCCTTTAGGGTTTCCTTCTGTTAAGTGTGCCTTTAAGGACTTGGGGGTCTCACAGGGGTCATGTCCAGGGTTCCAAAATAGGCTCCTATAAGGGTGGTTGGTTCAAAAGGGCTCTATTCTATAAAGGGAACCCTTCAAAAGATGGATCCCTTAAAGGGAACCCTCATGATGACCCCAATGGGACCCCTCAAGGTCCCCTGCTATAGGGCCTTAGGGGTTTCGGCTTCGGGAGACTGGGGCCTTAGGGTTTCGGCTCGAGGGCTTTGGGGCTGAAGGTGTAGGGTTTCGGGGGCTTTGGGGAGCTTTGGGGACTTGGGGAACTTAACCGAATACGCAAGAAGACCTCAGACTAATAATAGAGGCAGTCATAGTATATAATAACAAGAATGGTATTAATCATAATAGTAATAATCCTAAAAATATATTAGTTAGAGGATACGCGGTGGCCTTGAAGCGGAACAGGACCTCTGCGCGAGCTTTCACCTCAGCGTGCCAAACATCATCCACACGACGCCTTCACACGAAAAAGAGCTCCAAAAACCAGGAAGCCCTGGAAGCTACATCAAAATATCTCCTCTAACGATCTCTGGGATCTGCGGAATAGCATGGTTTTGTGGTGTTTGTAGAGTCTGCGGCGTTTGTAGAGTCTGTATGTTCTGTTGGGTTCGTGGGGTGTGCGATGCAACCTTTACACCAGAAAGACGAAAAAGCCCTCAATCACAATGAAACCTTGTGAACCCCTATAAAAACCCTGTGACACCCTTAAAAACATGTTGACATCACGTAAAATCATCCGGGCGCCGGTGTGTCGCGCCAGGCGGGAAAAGCGGCGGCGGCAGCTTGAGCAGCCTGGTCCTCATTGAGTTCCCAGGATCAAAAGGATGGTGGAAGGACCGGAGAGACAGTACTTGGAGGGTCATGAGACTTAGTAAGTAAGGTTCTAAGTACCTTAATTGGAGTTATAAGTATAGTTACCCCATTTATAACCTTAGTTACTAAGTCCCACGATCCTTTAAGAAAGGATGGTGGAAGGATCGCAGAGACAGTAAACTCTCCAAACACGCGCAAGCATCCCCAAACCATCAAGACTCCCACCCCGAAAATCCCCTCCCTGCAGCGCAGCGTCCACGTCGGCGGCGGTCCCGTCCGGGACTTGGGCGATCTCCTCCCCGGTCGCCGGGTTCGTGACCAGTATGGTGGAGGTGGCCGAGGAGGGCACGAAGCTGCCACCTCTCTCGGCACTCTCTCAGATAAATAGTACTAACAATAACAACGGTACTAATAACACTAGTAATCGTAACAACAAGAATATTAAGAATAATGAAAGCAGTCATAAGTTTAGACATAACAGTAGTGGGGGTCAGAGTATCGGATTTGGGCTTTCGGGCCTGGAGCTTCTCATGGCTCCAAACCCGAAAGCCCCCAACAGGAGCCGGTGGTTGAGAGGTTTAGGGTTTCAAAGTTAAAACGTTTAGAGTTACAGGTTTAGGGTTTGGGGTTTAGGGTTCCTGTAAGGGTTTCCGCAAGGGTTAGGGTTGCAACATTCCTATTGGAGATTCTCAAGATTCTAAGGGTTTGGGATTTAGGATTCACTTCCAGGGTTTCCGCAAGGGTTAGGGTTGCAACGTTCCTAGTGGAGCCTCTCAAGATTCTACACGGGCTTGTTTAGAAGTTTTAGGCCGCTGGTTAAGAAAGCGCACATCCTTGAATAAGGCTGGAAGGATCCGAATATTTGGGCCACTGAGGAAAGGAGGCATAGTAATAGGGGGTACACACAAATTACGAACTTCCGTAATCCTTCAAATATATCTAAGACTTTGAATAGCACCCTCAAACAAACCGATGAATTTCCTTACAACCTTTCAAACGACGCCTCCCAGACCCACCGGCCACACTCGACAGAACCCCAAGCAAAAGCCCCCGAAGACCCAAAAATAGCCTGAAACGCTGAACCTCTAAACCCGAAAAACCTAAATCTCTGGCGGAAGGCCTGAAACCCCGAAACCCAGTGAAAGCCTGCAACCCTGAAACCTCCAACACTCCAGAAAGCCCACAACCCAAAACCCTCTAGACCGTTCAAGATCCGACCTGAAGACACCTTAAAACCCCCGATACCCAAGAGTCTCAAGCACCAAAAACCCAGAAGCCCGGCTCCCAAACAGCTGGGAACAGGGCCAATGAAGTTCTCCAGGACCTCGGAATACCGAGCTGTTTTAGGGTTTAGGGTTTAGGGGTTAGGGTTAGGGTTTCGGGGTTTAGGGTTTAAGAGAAATGGGCTTGTATGGGTCTTGAGAGGGGCTTTGGAGGGATTTGTAAGCGTCTTTCGAGCTGTTGTTTAAGGTTGTGAGGCCCGTTAAGGGTGTTTAAGGGGGTTAAGCTTCTGAGTGGAGCGGCGAAGATTTGGCGTCTTAGGCTTCGGGGGGTAGGGCTTAGGCTGTAGCAACTTGGTCTTTTTGGGCTTTAGGGTTAAGGCTCAGAGCTTTGCTCGGTTGGGGCTCGAACCGACTCACTTCCGTCTCGGTGGGGTGTGCTGTCACAGTTGCTCTTACCTCTGCTGATTCTGCTGGTCGTTGTGTCAGTGTCAGTGCCCACAGCCGAAAACTTCGAACACGACATTCCGTAAATGCCCTCCTCTTCTTCCGCTCATGCTATCGTGGTGCATGTCCTGCTGCCACCAAACCAAACACCGCACTAAACGGTCACTGGCCTGCACTCCAAAGCCTCGCGACAAAAACAAACTGTAGTACTAATAGGTAACAATGATGATATCATGATAACAACAGCAGTAGGAACTATAATTCGGAGTGTCTCTAGCAGTAAGAGCCGTGTAAACGTCTTTATCATGGCTAACTTCTACTTGTTCCAACCAAAACCAGGTAAGCCTCCACTAAAACATCCCCCGAAATCCACACGGACCAGGCACCGCCGCACCGGCCACGGGTGCAGGGAGCAGGTGCTTCGTCACGCGGCTGAGGCGCTCCATGGCCGAAACAAAGCTAAGAAACCCTAGGATCACGTCGAAGGATAGGGGAGGAGTCCCTTTGTTACTTCTCGGTTTCCAAGGTAGGAGGTGCCTGATAAAGGATAGAACGGCCTTGAGATGGAAGAGCTCCCTATACTTGAAGGCGATGAAATGCAGAACTGAGCCTGGACGGCTGCGCTTGCGCAGTCGCCGCTGCTTTGGGCTCCTTTGAGGGTTCTCTCTCAGGTACCAAAAACAGGTTCGGGAGAAGGCTCGGTTTAGGATTTGGGAGTTTCCGAAAATAGAAAACCCTAACATAGTACCCTAAATAGTAGGACCTTTATTATCAGGACCCCAAAATACGGTCCCCCTAATTTTCAAAAACTCCCATCTAGGAGTTTAGGGGTTTGGGGGGTTTTCTATCCGAGGCTGGGGAAACAGGAAGTTCAGAGCACGAGGAGAATCTAATCTTCGCTTTGAGACTTTGAGGCCTGAAGACCCCAAAAACGAAACGAAACTCCGAACCGATTCTAGGAACTCTGGGGCAGAAAAATCAGAAACCCTGTCATGTAGGAACCTGATTCAGAAACCTGGGGACTCTAGTAGGGTTCCTGATATGAACCCCACTATGTTGAGGGATTATAGGGCCAGGGCTTCTTAATCACAGGTTCCTACATGACCCGTGATGAAAGCGCGACCGCCCCCGGCAGAGGGGCCCTGGCCGACCGCCTCCCAAGCTCTTTAAAGCCATTCTACTTGGAGGCTATAAGGGTTTCCTTTAAACGGTTCCCTTAAAGGGATCTATAGGGATTCTGTAAGGGTATAGGGTTTAGGTTCTACTTGGAGGTTCATGGGTAGTTATGAATGGGGGTAGAAGAGTTTAGGGTTCCTTGAAGGGTTCTACAGGGTTTAGGGTAGTTATAGGTGAGGTTATAAGTAGGGTAGCTCCATGATTAGAACCCATATTTAGGGGACTTATAACCCCGCTTATAAGTACTCCTGAACCTCCAAGTAGAAGCCTCACAGAAACCACGTAGAAAGAAAACCCAAATGCAAAAGAGACTCAGAAACAAATTCAACAAGACCTTTACGTACTTGCTTACTCTGTGAACCCAGTATAGACCCCTCTTAGGAACCCTAATTCCCCAAAAGCCCCGACGGCAAACCAAAAACTCGAGACCAGACGTTGATCACGGGCAGTTCGAAAAAGGTCCATCTCCGGACACCTGGGCTTCTTATAGCGTTGCTATCAAGGGTTCGTTGAAGGGTTTCTGTAAGGCTTACTCTGAAAGCTCCTTTGAAGTGGATTGAGGGTTCAGGCCATCAAAGGCTTAGAGTCCAAAGTAGCAAGGGTTGTAGTCGGGGTCTGTACTAAAGTCTTCTCAGATTTCTACTAGAGCGTTATCAAGCTTCTTATGATATGCTTCTTTGACTCAACGGCGCAGAGAGCTTGGATGGAACAGAACAGACAAGAACAAAGCCGCTAGTAAATCGGATACCAAAGATCCTGCCTCGTGCTTTCAGGAGTCCAACCAGCTCACCGGCGACTAGGGCCTGGTGGAATCGATCGCAAAGACTGATGCAAGTATCAGTTGACAAACTTGGTCTCAACCCAAACGAGATCCAGTATGCAATAGTACAGCCCATGTCCGCATGGCCGCGCAGATATGAAAATTCCTCCCGCTGCTGCACGAGACTAGAGCTCACAAGCACTGGCCGCCGCCCACCTGCGACACCTGCAGCTCATCCTGGCCACAGCAAATCAGGGGTTGTGGGGGCTTAGGGTTAAGGTTAGGGTTTGGAGCTTGGATTTAGGGTTTTCGGGTTCAGGGTTTTAGGGGCGACCGAACAGCACCATCGTCTACCTTACCACCTTGTAACGCATACATCTACATCAAAATGAACGTCGTCACCAACCTGATCATCCCTAAACACCATGTAGATCCGATGCTGGATCCTCACCACCAGGCTGAAAAGCTGCCGTGGCATTCGCCCCAAGCCCAAGCCTCCGGTCTGTCGCAGAAGTTGCACGTCCGGGCACAGAAGAGGCGCATATACCTGCTCTCGCAGGTAGGACGTGCTGCTTGAAGAATATGAAATCTTCGCAAGCAAGCTTCGAAACAAGCTTCAATAACCGGAACCCCCGGATTAAATTAGCTGACATTGACATCCCCCTATCCCCGACCGACTGGTCCTCCAAGCAGCCATACCGGACAGACGATGACACTTCGTGGGCGCACTGCTCGTGGCGTATGCAGCCACCGCCCATGGGACCACGACTGGCAAATCTTAACAAGTCGAAAAACTGCGTCGCACAGCAAGCATATGCAGACTCGCCGTCTTGAGGCACTTGGAGGACCAGGCGGCTTAGAAAGTAGTGTTAAAAGTACTTGGACTGTGGTTTCAGAAGTTATAACTATGGTTGCCTGACCGATCACCTTACACTGTAACGCCCCTGATCCCTTCAAGGAACTCATCCACGAAGGCGACCGAGATGGGGAGCCTTCGACACCTCTTGAGGTCTCTTCTTCAGAAGCGGTTTTTTTAAGTGCTTAGGAGCGAAGCAAGAACCACGAATCTTGCAAGGGATGCCCAATGTAACGGGCACAGTCGTCTCGCTTGTCCTCGGCAGATGCGCACGGTATAGGACTAAAGGAACGCTTGGGCGGATCTCCTTGCACCACTCGGGCAGACTGGCATCTTCGCCGCCACCGCTGGTAATCGCCAAGAGCAGGAGAAGTCCACGAAGACCTGAAGTCGCTCAAAGACGGAAAAACGCTTCTGCGTTACCAGGACCTCTGCCAAATTGGCAGTCAAAACAAGAAGCGCTCATGAACACCAGACGGCAAAAGCACCCCTTGCAAGCTAGCTGCTCAAATCATCAGTTCTCTCTCAAATGAAAAATACTAGCACTACTTGGTCCTTGGAGGTTCATGGGTAGGTTTAAGCGGGGTCATAAGTCCCCTAATATCAGTTATCATTATGGTCACCCTACTTATAAACCCACCCGTGAACCTCCAAGTACCGCTCCGGATTGAATTCCAAGGAACTTTTGCAAATCGTTGAACCGAAACCCTGATGCGCAGAATATAATACTGGTAATCATGGAAACAGTGGCAACAATGGTGATAATGAGTAGTAATAATCATAATAGTGATGTTCATATATAGTAGTAGTACCAATAACAGCTGAAGTTCATGGGTGTATGGTTGATCGTTTGCTTGTTGAAACCTCGAACAGTGGCCTTCCGCAATGCTCCTTCGCCATGGCATACTGCGAGGGTGCTGAAGCCATGCTCTCGAAACGATGTTCACTTGAATTTTAGATTTCGGTGAAAGAGTACAACATAAGGTGGTGCGGAAGGAAACATGTTTAGGCAAGCATGGGAAATATGCTGGGCCTGCCAATGCTAAACATGCATCCGAAAGCATGCCCACTCTCGATGAATAGTTGATGGTGCTAGAGTCTTCTAGAGACTATGCTAGAGGGACCACAATACAACTTTCGCAAATGAATCCAGAGGGTTTGCGGCACCAACAAAAGCAAGCGCCACCAAGATGCTAATTTAAGAATCTTGCAATGATTCTCCTATTTTTCGATTGTCTTATTCTCTCCAATTCCGGTTATCTGCCAGCACAAATTCTGCTGGTCGCGGCAAGTTGCGCAAATTCACAGCAGCGTACCGTTGAGAAAAACGTGGCACCTCCTGAACCGGGAACTTCAGCAAAGGTCTATTGCTGACACTCTTTGCAGCCTTGCGTGCATCTACTCAAGTTTTGAAAATGAACAGAAATTTTCAACTGAGTTGACTGGCTGAATGAAAATGAAATTTCTGTCAATGTCCGTTTTAGCTTGTTACTTTTCCTATTGATGCACGGGGCACTGGATGCAACACAAAAAAACTCAACATCCGCCAAGTTTAATCTGGAAGCTGTGTGATGCACAATAAGACACTGATCAGCGCTAGCCTTGCAGTCCGAAACCCGAACCCCGAATTCTTTCGATCCGGGTTGGTCGAGCCGCGCTTTCTAAAGCCGCGAAAACCTCGTCACACGCAAAAAGGAGGGAGCCACATGAAAACACTTCCCGAGGTCCAGCAAGCAAGAAGACTTCAAGTGGACCTTCTGCGCCCACTCTCTCAAGCCGCCGCACGGTTTATTTATTTGTTTTAACAAATCTTTTTTTGGGGTGTGCGGACCTCGTCGACTGCGTCAGCAGCTCTCGGTCCCTGCAAGAAACTAAGCAAACGAAGTAAATCTAGCCAAAAGCAATGAAACAAGCTGCGACGTGCAGGCTTTGCCGGCAGGAGTCGTTCAACTACGGTTCCCGCATTTTTTGCAAATTGTCAGACCTCATAAAATGGCTCTTCTCAGATGGTCCCGCCCTCCGTAAACCATGGAGAGCGCAATTAAGCGCACATGTGCCCATAGCCCACCAGATGCAATCGCTTGTCTTGGCAAACCACCACCAGGTCCTCTGGAACAAGGTCGCAGTGCAAGATAGTGCCACCAAGGTAGACCAAAGGGGCAGTGCAGGCCGATCAACATCCTTGCATGCCCCATGTAAGAAAACTCCAACCCAAAGACATCTGTACAGGCAGCGTCTTTGGATAGCTGTATATTTTTTGGCGTGGGCGGGCCTCAATGACTGCGGCAGCAGCACTCGGTCCCTGCAAGAAGCCTAAATAGCAACACAAACAAAACAAAAGGGTGAAACAAGCTGCGACGTGCGGGCTTTGAAAGCAGAAGTCGTTCAGCCTTTTGCCCGTGGGGTCACACGTTATGACCTCATGCCCGCTCACTGGCCCTGCCCTCCGTAAAGCCTGGAGGGCGCAATGGCCCCACACGAGTGCATATGGCCCTGCTCACCGCAAGCAATGGTGAGCGCACAGGCCACATGTCCGGTAAACCTCCCAAGAGCGAGAGTGTGCAGCCTCGATGGCTCTCAGTCAAGCAGTTGGGCGAGCCAGGCTGGCATGATGGCCATGCTCGCCAGAGTGCCTGGAGAGAAAAGTGGCCTGTACATGTGTACATGCCCGGTTCCTGGTAAGCCAATGTGACCCAATGGCTGCACATCAGTCACGGTGCGGCATGTAAAGACCGCCATGGTCCAACCGAAACACCCGTTGTGCGTTCGCCACTGTGCGAGAGCAGAGCAAAACTGTTATGACGGACAAGTCCGTCAATCGAGTGGCCTCGCAAAATGCGCGACCTCACACATCCAGGCCCTGCCCTCCGCAAAATCTGGAGAGCGCAAAAGCCCACATGATAGCATAAAATACAACAAGCCATGTTGCAAGGCCACGCAAGCATCATGGCCAAGTATCCCGCCAGCCATTGCGCGAGCATCTCTTCCCACCCAGATCACAGGAAAAAAGGCCTGGTATTGCCAGAAGCCAATGTCCTGCAGAACGTTTGATTACCCCCAAATCCCATGCCCTGCTCTCCGTAAAATCTGGAAAGCGCAATGGCCCAAATCGTAGCATAATAACCAAATAAAGAACCGCAAAAGCGCGATCATCACAGATCAAACAGCCCACCAGCTAAGGGCGCAATGCCGCTGTGCACCCAGAATAACACAGGAAATCAGGCCAGGCATGTCCATGTCCAGAAGCCAAAAGTCCTGCCTGGTGTTGTAAACCAAAAACCAGGAAAGCCGCAATGAACACACACGGCGTCCCCATGGGCTAGTTGCGTCCGCCCGATAGACCTTGTGACGCCAGAACTCATTGTGGCGCCGGAAAGCTGAGAGTGAGACCGCCGAGCAGAACGCAGGGAGTCACTTCCACGGCTTCAACTAGCGACATAGTCGGGCCATGTCGTCGCCAGGCGCCAAGAGTTGTGTAGTAGATGCAGGTCCTGCCGACCACATGTAGCCCTGCCTTACAATGGTGTCCAACCGGTGAAGAGCAAGCTCGGGCCACAAGGCTGCTTTTCCGGAGTCCCGGCAACATCAATGGCTGGGTTCCTAGGCACGTTTGACCTTCAAACTGCCCACTGCTACATTGCAATCCTCCAAAGAGCGGCACCCAAAACGCGCTCAAGAATAGCAGTAGCCATCTCCAAAAAGCTGTGACGGGTCATACCATGCCCGTTGGTAAGAGCATGAGCGCAAGTGCCGCCAAGCAGAACGCAAGGGGACAGATAGCAGCGTTCAGTTGAGTCTCCGTTTTGCGATGGGCGGGACCGCCTCCTGCATGTCCAGCGGCAGCCACCCCGCACGAAGCAACTCCTGCAGGTAGCACGCGAAGTCGAGATGGCTGGCATGCGAGGGATCAGCTGGGTCCATGCAGGCGCGCACGTAGTCCACGGTGTGACGATTCCTTGCCCAGGGACGGAAGGTCACGATTATAAGGCCCCACTGATCCATGGACGAAATGTCGGTGGGGTACCTGCCACGGAAGTTCACCGGGTACGGCATGGGCGCGCCATGACGCGCAGGCTTTAGTGTGGAGAGCATGATTCTGTCGAACGGGGGCTCCCAACAATAGCCTGCTGACGCCTCGGCGGTGGCAGCTTGTGATAACTCGGCACGCCAGCGTGCCATGTACCAAAGCCGTGAAGGGTCACCTGTACAGAAGGCTCTCGCAAGCAGGGTCACCGCCACATCGCACTCCGGCGCGGAGAGTGGAGCCATACATGGCGTCCGTCCCGCCTCGTCCTGCGTCATGGCTAGGACAGTCGAGGACTTGCCCACCCAAACAGGCCAGACTCTCCTGGGCTTTGCGTCCCTTGAGCCTCTTTGTGTTTGCCAAAAACCGTAGCTGGAAGCAAGTGTGCCGAATGACATGCTGCGCGGGCTCTGTAGCAGAAAATTGGAAGGAGAGCCCCGATCCCAGCGTGAATAGTCGCATGGCATAAAGGAAGAGGAGCCATCGGTTGGCGGCATCGCGATTGACGGCCGTGAGGAGGCTGCCAGCGAAAGAGGCCCCCCTCATCTACAAGTATTCAAAGCGTCGCCTCTTGCCGACCGAGTTCGCTTCGAATAAGTCCAGTTGGAGCCAGCCCACCCGCAACATTTCACGCAGGTATCGCGAAAAGTCTAAGTGCCGTGCATCCACAGGATCAGCGGGATCCACACAGACCCGCACATAGTCCATGATACGTCGATCTCCCCCTAAAACCCAAGCCTAATTCCCTTCCTCTCTTTCGCTAAAGTGCTAAAGCTGCTCTGGTGGATTCCACCGAATTGCCGAATTGGCTCCTGTCACAGGTCACAGGTCGGACAGTCTAAACACTTCCTAATTAACGGTCTCAGTTCGGTGCCTTG